ACCCCCCCCCCCCCTCAAAATCATCACAGTCCCTCCCCCTCTAGATAATTTATGAAAGCTCCCTAATGCCAGAGTAGAGACGATAAGAAACAGCAGCGGTATGAAGGATATACAACTACCTGAAAAAATATAAGCACAACTTCTACGTGGCAAGCGAAGGCCCTTCGTCGTGAAGGTATTTCCAGATTCACGCTACTATATAACCTGCCGACGAAGCCACGAAGGGCCTTCGCTAGGAACGTCGACGTCGACGCGTTCATATTTTTCAGGAGGTTCTATCTCCTTCACATCGTAGCTGTCTGTTCCACACAATGAAGCTTTTAAGATTGTTAGTATCGTATAAGAGAAAGAAACACTATATATTATTTCGTATTTACGCCTGGTTTCCATATGGTCGTAACGGTCGTAAAGATTGAGTCACGATCTTTCTCATCAGCCGAAATACAACATTTCAGAACTGAAAATCTTGACGTGGAGTGATTATAACTAGAGAATACTTATGATTTATATGTGGTTTACAGGTATATACTATTATAAACTGGTCGTTGAGAAAGATCGTGACTCTATTAGTTGATAATAATAATAAAAATCTTTATTTATCAAGTAATTCTTAGACACAACAAACGTGTGTCTTTACATGATTTTATAGTTATTAATTCTAAAATATACTATGTTACTATTTACTGTATTTCCATTATGCAATAATTTATATGCATGCAATTAAAAACTAAAAATAGTCAAATTAACAGACACCTATATTTACAAAAGAACGCTTAAATCTTTCATTTCTAACTTGAGGTAGGATGAAAGTATGATGTGTTTTCTTAAATTTCTTTGTCTTTTTTCAAATTTACTATAAAATTTACTATAGGAACAAGCTTCAACGTGGGCTGTTTCCATTCTGTAAAATAGGAGTTAATTGGTACAGGAAACTGATGATTTCGGGGCACTTCCACACAATGTATACGTTGGAAACGACCATATATGGAAACCAAGCTTCAGTTGTGTAGTCTTGAACAATATATGTAAGTGTAGGTGGTGGCCATAATAAGAAAGTTTTGTATTGATGAGGGATGCACCTATATGAAAAATACAAGAACTTTCAACTTTGATATTTCGTGCAAAGGCTCTTCATCGGAAAATTAGTAGGACTATCTTCTCGATGAAGCGCCTTCGCTCGAAACGTCAACTTCTCCTTGTATTTTTCATGTAGTTGTATATTCCTATCAATCCCATGCATGCTTTCTTATTTGGTTGTGTACTCCAATATTTAATACATACAGAAAAAAAGTCGAATGCGGCATCTGTAACAGGATGAGGGTTAAAAGTGCATATCAAAGCGATTTACATGGCGAGTGCACTTGTGACCTATCCCACATCATTTCTAATATCTTGACCGGTATGGCACATATCATCTTTCTCCGCAGGAAATGAAATCAAATAATAAGTTATGGCGCGTTTAATTCATTGTCTTATATTAATTTACTATATATTTTATTTCGTACGGGCCAACGTATGATAGATAGATAGATAGATAGATAGAACGTTTAATTGAATCAATATTTACAGTCTTGTGAACTGAATTATATATATATATATATATATATATATATATATATATATATATATATATATATATATATATATATATATATATATATATATATATATATATATATATATATATATATATATATATATATATATATATATATATATATATATATGATGATTCCTATACGGATGAAACAGACTGTTGTGGTTTTTTGAGGTAAAACGAAAAACTATATTACGCTCTATCTATATGGTATTGAGCATGCACTGTTTGTGTTTCGTAAACCAAAATCTTATATGTATATATATATATATATGTATATATATATATATATATATATATATATATATATATATATATATATATATATATATATATATATATATATATATATATATATATATATATATATATATATATATATATATATATAAAAATATATATATAAAAATATATATATATCTTTATAAATATATGTATGTACCTATGTTTACATATCATGTTTTTACATATATCGTATTGTCTCTAATAAAAAGTGTGGTGTGGAGGTGCCCAAATCATCAGCTTCCTGTACCAGTTAATTCCTATTTTACAGAATGGAAAAGCCCACGTTCAAGCTTGCTATTATACTGAGTAGCTCCACAAACAAACAAACGAGCGAAACATTACGCCGGTTAAGGCGGATTTCCAGTCCTCGCGCGAAGCTCCTCGCAGCTCGCTGCGAGTGCTTGCATCTAATTAAAATGAACTGTTTAGCATTGTGATTGGATGAAAGTGCTCATGCATCGAGCTGCGAGGAGCTTCGTGCGAGGACTGGAAATCCGCCTTTACGAACGAGCACGTTTTCTTGGCAACTTTTCCTTGTCAGGTTTTTAATTGGGACGAATGTCCTGTTCCTTATCCCAGTCACGTATAGGTTGTCTTGTAACATGTTATGTATATCAGTGTCATTGTAAATATTTGTGATGAATTTAGTAATAAATTGCATTTGCGTACAAACAACCAAGTTTGGCAATAATAAAAATAATAAACTACTATACAACAATAGATCGCTAACCATGCACACGCACGGGCTCAGATTACTTTGCCAACTTCACTTTGTTGCAAGTGTTCCAACATAGCCTACTCAAGTTTTTAAAGAAGTGTTTGTCATAGATAAAATTGGCAAAGTTGCTTATATAGGCTATATAAGCTGTTATTTATAAGCCTGTGCCTACAGACGAGCAAATTAAACATGTCATTGCTCCCCTGTAACCAGCTAAATTTACTGTGCAGATTTGAAGTTTTACACCACATCCATTATATCTACAAGGTCAAGGACTTATTAGGAACTAGTCAAATAAATCATTATATATAATTGGTTTGTATCTGAACCACTCGAAAAGGTAAAAACCACATTAATTTTCGAGCCAAGCTCCTGTTAAGGTCTGTCTACGATTGTCATTCTGGAGTATTTTAAAGCTGTAAATGGTCAGGTTATCATATCTGAAGATGAGGGAATCTCGCTAAACCGATAATTCCCACGAGTCGGCTAGATATTCCAGTATTAATGAGCACTTCACAGCAATCGTATATCATCCGTGTCACGCGAGAGTTTGAAAGTGTCTTCCAACAGACTTGAAAACATCCTAATATATGTTTAACTATATAAGTACATTAAGTATGTTTAAGAGATTGTTACGAGACTATTATTCGAAAGCCCTTCACAATTGTTTTAATGCAGAGGACCCAAGAACATGGAAATCTATACGTTTAAATTGTAACTCTTGTCAAGTTTGAACAATGTTATCAACTGTTCTTTCTATAGACATTCGTATATGTAACTTATATGTTAAGCCGATATGGAATTGAAACAGCCGCGTAAAATTTTTCATTGGATTATTTTTCATTTGATTATTTTTCATTATTTGTTTTATTTCTTATGTATTTATACTTTCAAAACGTAGTCCACAACGGACTATAGATATCAATTTTCCAAATTTTCGGTCAAAATTCAGTTATTGAATTTTCAGCCAAAATTTGTCAACTTTGCATGCCGAATCAAGTTTTGAACATTTCGGGTTTTTAACTGTTGTGGTGTCCCCGCCATTCGTCACCAGTATATAATATTGCCTTTGGGCGCGTTTATTGGACTATATACGCCAGAAAAAGTTTCACAAGACTATAAGGCGGTCACATAAAACTCTTCCCAACTTTAGTTCCCCTTGACCTTGGGCTGAATCAGTACTATACACAATCGCTCGCTTTGATAAGCTTAGATATACAAAAGTTTAGTTCAGATATAACAGGATTTCCCTTCTATAAGCCGCCTGCAAAATATTCAACTACAGTATATTGGTCGTCTGAGGGTTGTAATTCCGGTGTAGAGCTAATTAAGGACTAGCATTTCAAAAAAATCAACTTTTGAGTGTTCAGATCACAGTGTAAATATGGCAGGGACAAACAGAAGGCCGACTCAGCTAAAGAACCGCTGCCACGCCATGATTCGCAATGATTCGTCATCAAAATCGGTTGACGCCATGGTCCTAGCCAGTGCCACAGAGGAAGTACATACAGAGATCTCACTTCAGGTTAATTTCGCGTAAGGGATTTTTTCAGTCCGCCATGTTCTTAGCAAGTGCCCTAAAGAGAGGCAGTCACCCCCCTGAAAACATATTGAAAATTTAATATTTCAGG